TACTCCTATTGTTCGCGCGCCATATCCCTTTCATACAGTAAATATAGATATTATTGGTGAAATTTCACCTCCTTCAGGAAGGAAACATAAATATTGTTTGTGTTTGATAGATAATCATTCAAAATGGCCAGAAGTCATACCTTTAAAAAGTCTTTCTGCTAAAGCTACTTGTGAGGCTCTTTTAGATATTTTTATGAGAACCGGTATTCCAGAAATAATTTGTAGTGATCAAGGCACTAATTTTACCTCACAATTAACTCAAGAATTCGAAAAAAGGTTAGGAACTCATCCTCGTTTTTCGACACCTGGTTACCCAGCATCAAACGGCTCAGTGGAAAAATGGAATCGGGTATTTAAACAAATGTTACATCATGTAATTCGCACAGATCCTGTTAATTGGGACAAGCACATACCTTATTTACTTTTTGCGTATCGTGAAGTTCCAAATTGCACTACCGGTGTATCTCCATTTATGCTTATGTACGGTCGTGAAGCTAGAGGTCCCTTAGCTGTGTTAAAATCATCATGGTCCGGTGAAATACCATTACCTCTTAATCTGAGTAATTCAGCAGTTGATTATCTACAAGAATTAAAGATAAATTTAGAGAAAGCATCTGAGCTCGCTTCTTTATCTGCCGCGGAAAAACAAGAAGCTTATGCATATTATTTTAACCGTCGCAAAAGTTTGAAAGAATTTAAAAATGGTGATCTAGTATATTTACTTATACCAGACTCTAGCAACAAGCTATATGCTAGGTGGACAGGTCCAGGTGAAATTGTTGAAAGAGTAAATCCTCATTCTTACAAAGTTAAATTACCCGATGGGAGTGTGAGGCATGTTCATGTGAACAAAATAAGAAAATTTTATGTTCGAGCACAAACTGTGGGAGTGATATTTGAAGATGATTCTGAGTTTGGGGAAATTCATACCACTCCAAATAAAGGAGATTGCGCAGTAACTAGAAGGAACATCGAGGTGGATATTAGTCATTTAGAGGATAGCAAACAAAAGGAATTACACGAGCTCTTACTCAAGCACATCGCGTTATTTTCTGGGGAGATCCAAATAGCCAGAGTTGGTGAACATAGAATTCGGTTGTTACCTGGAGCTGAAGAAAAAAAGCCATATATCTATAAGATCCCAGAATCTTTGAAACCTGAAGTAGATAAACAGATCGAGGAATTGGAGAGCTTGGGTCTTATTGAGCCAAGTGAAGCTGAAATAGCATACCCAGTCGTATGTGTTGCCAAGAAAGACGGAAGTATGCGTTTATGTATTGATTTCAGGTTGTTGAATCAAGTAACCAAGCCTGTTGATTTTCCAATGGAGAATGTGACTGATCTAATCAATAAAATTGGACACGCGAATGTTATCACCTGTTTAGATGTCTTGAAAGGTTACTGGGAAATACCTTTAGAAGAAGAAAGTCGTGATTTAACATCATTCAAGACACATCGTTCCCAATATCGTTGGAAAGTGATGCCTTTTGGATTAAAAAATGCAGCTTCTACTTTTCAGCGAGTGATGAATGATGCCTTAAGAAAACATAGTGATTTTTGCAAAGCATATATTGATGATATTGCTATCTTTTCACCAGATTGGAATTCGCATCTCAAACATTTAGATGCTGTGCTAACTACATTAAGTGATCTCAGGTTTACGGTGAACGTGAAGAAATGTGTTTTTGCACGTTCGGAGATAAAGTATTTAGGACATATAATAGGAGCTGGAAGACATCAACCTGATCCTGAAAAATTACAAGCCATTGAAATTATAAAAAGTCCTAAAACAAAGACTGCTCTAAAGAGTGCATTAGGCTTATTCAACTATTATCGTGATTACATAAAGAATTATGCAGAAATAGCTCGCCCATTGACGGAGCTTACGAAAAAGAAAATTCCTGAGATAATTCCATGGACTGATGTTGAGGAATCAGCATTTCAAGAACTGAAACGTCGACTGTGTGAAGCACCAAAACTGTACACTCCAGAACCAGAAAAACCTTACACCATACAGTGTGATGCTAGTTCATATGGTGTTGGTGCTTGCTTGTCACAACGAGACAGCAAAGGCAGTTTGCATCCTATCAGCTTTGCCAGTCAAAAACTTTCGAAAACTCAGCAGAACTGGTCAACTATTGAACGCGAGGCTTATGCCGTTGTGTGGTCATTAAAAAAGTTCGAGTGTTGGGTGTTTGGATCGAATATCGAGCTGATCACAGACCATAATCCATTATTATATTTGTATAAGTCGGCACCGCATTCAGCCAAATTACAGAGGTGGGCAATGGCACTTCAGCGCTATAATATTCATATTTCTCATTGCCCTGGTGCACAATTAAAAATGCAGATGGTCTTTCAAGACTAGTGGGTGAATGAAATAGGTGTGAACTAAGTATGAACTAATATGTTTTAAAACTTTGCATTAGTTACTTTCTTTTGTTCCGGAATTGTACGAGAGCTACTTTCCATCTGTTTTGAAAATCAAATTACTGGTTTCCATTTAATATTGCATTATAATAGTGTGTTTTGAAATAGTATTGCATATATGTTTTATTACAGAACTCCGGTATTGTATCAAGCCATCTGTTCATCTGTTGTGAGATGAATGTTTATTGCATTTATTTCAAAGTATGTTATTATGTCATGTATACATGTTCATATATTTTGAATTAATTTGGTATGTGGAGTATACAATTTAAGTTTGTATTTGCTGGTTCAGTTTTCAGATTCTGCTTCGCTTTGGCGTAGCACAATCTTACCGGGGGGGTGTCATGTATCTGGCAGCGGTGAGCCAATCAGCTGCCTGGCAGCGCCCAGCAAGTGAGAGAGGCCAGTGGCATGTTAGCCTCAGAGGAGGCAGGTTGTAGGTTAATTATGTTGTAGGAGCGAGGTAGTGCTCCGAGTTTGCCTTTATTCTTTAAATGTTAATTTTTTTTCATTATTCTTTGAAAGTTCATTTTTAATAAATGTTGGTGTCGTTTTCCTCATGGTGCCTTATTAATCCGCAAGGTCATTACACTTTGGTTTTAATTTTCTCGTAAAATTTTTCAATTACTTCTGCAAAATTCATACCCACATAAAAATTACTACACCGAAGTCAATTGATTATACAGCAAAACATTCCTAAAACAATCAACTCCACAATTCGAGTTAATACCAGTTTCCTGTAGCCTGACAAAACTATGATTTTTTATGTCCCTGTTATTTAATTATTGTCCTGACAAATGTGCCATTATCAGAGGTGGTCATTTAAGAAAATAACCACTATATGATGTTCAACTTAATGTAATTTTTTTCAAATAAATAATTCACTTTTTATACTCCCAAGACTAGTACATTTAATATTACATAAATCTTATTCACAAATCTATTTCTATTTCAAAAGCAATTTATGAAAAACACATTTGAAATTTTCTTTTCTTCATCAAACTGATAATAATGAAAATTAAAGTATGCATAAAAAATGATTATATGTGTTTTAACAAAATAGCACAAAATATTTAATGTAAAAATGTGGTTCTGGTCTCATACTTGTAAAGAAAAATAGACCAAAAAGAGAAAACAATGTAAGCTACTATGATCATCTAAATTTTCACATAATTTTAGTAGTGGAAAAAAGATTCCTTAAGCTTGTATGTCTTGTCTACCCCATTCAATAAGTAATAAACACATTAAATATTTCAATGTTTATTTCATTAATAAAACTTACCTTTTTTGCTCGCGAAATATAATTAGAACATTTTTTAAAACATAAAATCTGTAAGGATTCTTTATCTTAGATCTGTAAGGACCTTAGAGATTCTTTGGCCATATTGCTTGTTTGGGAAACTTCTGAGAGTGGGGGAGGGAGGGGAATTTTTTTCCTCACGTTAGAGTTAAACAGGGAGAAAAGTTTTGCGATTGTGAATGAACTTGTTCGCGTTAAAGAGATGTTGGTTGATACCGGTGTTTATTTGTAATATCAGAAATGTAAGTGCTTATGTGTGTGTATTCAGAGAACCAACTCGTAGCAAAAAACACCTCCCTAAGACGACCGCCTCTGAAAGAAACCAGTATTTCTGAAAACACAAGTATACTTTGGTATTGAATATTCAGAGATTCATTCCGTAGATGCAATCTCCCTAAGACGACCACCTCTAAAAGATAAACGTATCTCTGAGAACGTGAGTATATATTGGTATTGAGCATCACCTCTCTAAGGCGACCACTTGCAAAGATGAATTTTTATTTGCGGCTGGTCGCCTTAGAGAGACCTCGTTGTGTGTGGTGTATATGATTACTCTTATATAATTTTCCGATGTTGTAAATGGAACTAAAACTGAAATTAAATAAATAGCATATTTTACAGCAATAAAAACCCTCTCTAAAACGACCACCTGCGTTTCCAGGTTACTCTGATGGTCTTAAAGATATCGTATTTTCATTCTGTTAATTTTATTGTTTACAAGAAGTCTATTAACGTCAGATAAAAAAATAGCATAAACTCATATAAACCAACAGAAGATTTATTATTATATTCATACCAGTAAGAAAACCAGTAAAAGTCAATATAAACCTATAGAAACCAGTGCAAAGTTCTGCCATTGAAAAAATGTTGGTTGTATGGGTGTCAATTGATATCAATAAGAAAAACCCACAGAGATCAATAGAAACCAGTAAAAGTCAGTAGAAACCATCAAAAATTCTATAGGTACCAGTAGAAAGTTTTACTGGTTTCTATGGGTCATTTTGAAACCAGTAAAAAAAACCCACAGAGACCAACAGAAACCAGTATGGAAATGTCAATGGAAACCCATAAAATTGTATGGGTACCCATAAAAAGTTTACTGGTTTCTATGGGGCATTTTTAGCAGGGGCAGTTAACAGAATTTTAAACTTTTATAGTTAACTAATAAAATTCATTAATTAAATCTTTTTTAAAACGTTCTATTAGTAATTTTTCTTGAAAAACATAGTCTAAAAAAATTAGAAAAAGGAAGACAAGTAATTGCATGTGGTTACCTCTATTGAAATTGTTTAATTAAGTATCAAATTATAAAATTATGTTAGCTGATATAAGTAACATCAATTTTTCTACTCTTTTTAAGTTTTTGAATGCTTAAGCTTCCGTCTGAATTTTTCAGCAAAAAATTATTAATTAATTCAATATAAAAGTAAAAATATTCTTCATTCCTTTTTGCGCTCACAAATCATTATGCCAATATGCATTTATAGCTCTTAAAACCTGAAAAACACGTCTGCGATCGTCATGCGATGATTATCGTCATGCGATGATTTGTATGCGCTTTATTTTTTACCACGATGTTTTCGACGACAATGATTTTAAATTGAGAAGTTTTTGAATCGCTTGATTTTCTACAACGATGTCTTAAAACTGCCATGCTTTCTTTTTTCCCACTATCTATCTTTTATATTATGGCGTTTCCCCGTTGCGTTGTCTTCTGCGCGATGTTTTCTTCTTCAATGTTTTCTGCTGAGATATTTTTGCCTGTAATCGCATGCCAAGTTTTCTTCTCCTTCTGAATTTTTCTTCGCGTTTTAATGTCATTCTTCGCGTTTCTGGTTTGTACTTTTCCCGTTCTTCTTATTTTTAAGAACACCAGATCTCTCGTAATATGTCAAAGAATTTTTTAGTAATTCTTATACCTCCTGATGTCTTAAAATGGTCATAATGTTCTTCATGCGCTGCGTTGAAATTCTTGTAGTTCCTTCTCTGCCTCTCTAACTTCATCAATCCACCTTCTCTGAGGTCTTCCAGCCTTCCTTTTCCCGTTCGGTTCCCATTCTAATATGCATTTCAACCATTTTCTTTTATTCATAGCATTAATAGAATCATACATTGATAAAATTTTCAGTTTTATACTCTGAATCAAATTTGGATCAACTTGCATTGTTTTTAAAATTTCTTCGTCTTTGATCTCATTGCATTCCTGATCCTTGCAGCAAATCTTCCAAAACTCCAACTCCAAAGACTGGATTTTCTTTTCGAGAACCTTAGACAAAGTCCAAGTTTCACAACCAAAAGTCAAAATATTTACCAGAATACCCTGAACAATTTTCTTTTTTGTTTCTTTCTCAATTATGCTATTGCTCATCTCTGACTGCAAAATCGAAGCTACTATTTTCGCTTGCATAATTCGATAACTTATTTCTTCTTTGCATTTTCCATCCTGTTGCAAAACGTAGCCGAGATACGTGACAGTAGGCGTTCGTTTGATTGTCAAGGACTCTAAGGTCAAAGTGCTTGTTATTCCAGAATTCAAAGTGAGATACTTTGCATTTTTAAGGTATAAGCTAAAACTACTTTTTTCGAAGTAATGCTTTAAAGCATTCACAGAGTTTTCTAAATCTACCTTCTTTGAAGCGAGGATTACTAACCCACTTGGATAGTATAAAGACAGCAGTTTTCTTTTCCCAATATATAGTCCTACGTTTTCCCATTTATTGTGCCATCTTCTTAGGCACTTTTGTATGCATATCATTCGTAATACTGAAGACAAACTACATCCTTGCTTTAGCCGAAAGAAATTTGAGGAGTGTTGAGCAGACGAAGATGATGTCTGATATTTAAATTTATTTCCATCATATAAATGCTTTATCATAGCGATTAATTTACTGCTTAATCCTGTTGCTTTCAGTCTCTCATAAAGAAAGGGAAATGGTACGTCCATGCAACAACATTTGAGGCAAATAAAAACGAAATGTGCTTCTTTCTGTTTTTCCACACACTTTTGTATAATTTGCCGTAACATATAAATAACTTCAATGACTGAAGATTCAGGAGTAAAACAGCTCTGAGGTAGTCTTTCTAAAGATAAGGTTTTCTCAATTCTTTTTATAAGAATGGACCTCATTAACGACATAATTGGATGGAGCACTAAAGTATCTGAGTGATTCGGATTGACAGCCTTTTGCATTTTACCGTAACTTGTCTCATCAGCAGAATACACATATATTTCATTTATTTCAAGAGGAATTTTATGTCCATTTAAAATAATTTGAATTAAATATCTGAGTAACTCCTTTAATTCCAAGCAGGAATATTTTAACAGATTTATAGAAATATTGCCTGGCGCAGAATAGTAATTCTCTTCCAACCCATCCAGTGCCTCGTCTACTTCCAAGACACTAATTTCAGACGCATCTGCAATATCTTCTTTTTTAGATTTTGCTTTTGGGTTTAAGATTCTGATGCAGCGACATGAAATGAAATCTGGTATTATTGCATGCAGATTTAGGTCATTTTTAGATATCGTTTGAATAGTTTTAACAATTTCCCATAGAAACTGGACCTTGGTTAACTCATCCGAATTTTCAATTTTGTTACACACTTCTTCCCAAAATTCCGTTTTAAATTCTTTGTCATTTTTGCGAGAAAGTAGCTTTATGTCTTTGTCTAACATTGTACCACAGTCCTCATTCCAAAGTTTGTTATTGTTGCTTTGCTTCAAGATTCGAATATTTTCGGGGTACCAGAATTCACTAAAATTTTGCTCTTTGAACTCACCAAGAATTTCTTCGGCAGCTTTATGAAGAACTTCCTTTAAGTGTTGATATTTCTCATCTAAAGTTTCAGCCAACCTGCAATCGAGAACTTCTTTCGAGCGTGTGGCGTACTGATTTCGAATGTTTTTATTGAAAAGCAAATGCGTTTTGTAAATTTGGGGATTAGAAATCTTCCCCTCATTGACGGTTTCAATATCTTGAAACCACGGAATTGTTATTTCGGCTTCAACAAAGCAATGATCCGTGTCGCATTGTAATTCTTTATGCACTCTGACGTCTTTTACAATCAATGCTGACGTCTGCTTTGTGATACAATAATCAATTATTGATTTTGTATTTCTCCCGCATGCATACCACGTATACTTATCGACGTCCTTATGTCGGAAGAAAGTGTTTTGAATTTTTAATTTAAACTCAGAACAAAGTTCAATAAGCTTGTCGCCATTATCGTTCATTCTTGATTCGCCATATTTTCCTACAATATCACTACTCGTACATCGGCCCACTCTTGCATTGGTGTCCCCAAGAATAACTACTTCAGCTTCATCATCTATGTCCTTCATTACGTACCATAATTTATTATGATATATTTCTTTCTTATCCTTTCTTGCATTGTCATCTATACCATAAACTCCAATAATGACCACTTGCTTTATACCAAGCATTAGTTCTATCTTTATGAGCCTTTCATCAATAGCTTCCCAAGAAGTCATGTATTTGCAAAACATTTCTTTCATCATTATAGAGATTCCAGCTCTGCTTCTGTCATTTTCTCCCACTCCACTAAAGAAATGAATGTAATTACCAATATTTTCGCGACCCTTACCCTTCTTTTTTGTTTCCGTGATCACAACTATGTCTTTGTTATGTTCCTCTAATTCGGAATAAACCTTTTCCATTTTCTTGGACAGTCCTCGGACATTCCATGTGCCAAATAATAAAGTCTGCCCCATCTTTAAAAGTTAAGCAGTACCAGGATAATATTTTTAAACGAGTGCTCCTATTTTTAACCTTGCAGTTAAGAGATTCTTAATTAGAAATTGTAAATTGATTTTAAAGACATATAAATCATTTTAATGAAAATAGAACAGAAACTTTTGCAGTATAAAACAGGTAGCAGAGACGTTATCTAATGCGACATAAGGTACAGAGACTATTCTTGTAAGACTAGCCTGTGAGTTTAAAAAAAATTCAGTTTTCAAACTACTTGTACCAGATACCGAAATCAGTTCTTAGGCTGAGTAAAAGTTAAAATCCAGGTAATATTTTGATAATAATGTTTAACACATTTTGACAGATCAAACAGTTTTTGCAAACGATTTCTTCGGTGTTAGATTCAAGAATAACTAAATGGTAAAATAACCGTATGTACCATATCTCTATACACACATAAGTTTTAGAATAGACCAATGACAGATAACGCCCATCTAAAGTAAAACTTGAAAGTATTGATTAGCAAGCATAACACAAACAATGCTTGATCTAAAATGAAGATATCTGATAGATGTGGACTGGCTTGTTTAGAGAGGACATCTTAAGCATTTCTTCAAAGTTCATAAAGTATCAAATAAGGAAACAACTGAGTTTTCATGTGTGTTGAGAAGGTAAGACTAATTCATCTACACTGTGGTGTCAGCACCTAAAGGGAAAAGAAACATGGGTTAGTGTTCTATCCTAGATATTTTTACATTAGCTTAATTTTTAAAAGTTTCAATAAACACTTTATATTATGATTGTTTATATTATAACACTTGATATTATAACCTGGGACTATTATTAACTTTATATTATAACACTTGATATTATAACCTGGGACTATTATTAACTTTATATTATAACACTTTATATTATAACATGGAACTAGTGAGAATGAAATGTCCAGAATGCAAATGTCTTTTACAAACATTTTTTATTTTACACTACGTAGACTGTCTGAAAAGTTTCCGACTTAACAAAGGAAAAAGATATATTGTCTCCAAAATTACCTTTATTTTTCGACATGATCTCCTTGTAAGTCTATATATTTCTTCCATCGATGTTCTCATCTTTTTAAACCGCTCAAATAATATGTAGAATCTTTCTCTGTGTAGTCTCCTCATTTGACGAAAGTTGTTTTCCTCAAAGGCCTTCTGTTAGGTTAGGGAACAAAAAAAAGTCACTTGGTGCCGGGTCTGGCGAATAGAGCGGATAGTTAAACAGTTCAAATCGTAATTCATGGATTTTCGCCATTGCAACTGCTGAGGCGTGAGGTGGAGCATTGTCTTGATGAAACAATTTTTTTCTTTTGCAAATGTGGCCGTTTTTCAGTAATTTATGCCTTCAGCTTGTCAAGCAACGTTGCATAATATGCTCCGGCAATGGTTTTCTCTTTTCAAGATAATATATTAAAACAAACCCATGGCTGTCCCAGAAAACTTTTGCCATCAAGTTCACAGCAGAAGCAACAGTTTTTGCCATTTTGGAATCCAATTCTCCCTTTACATTCCACTGTTTTGACTGTTTTTGTTTATGTGCTGCAATGATGAATCCAGATTTCATCTAGAGTGATTAATAGTAGGTAAAACTCAGATTTATCAACTATCCAAGAATAAAATTATGTGTGGAATTTGCGGTTACGTTCTTTCTTCGAGTGCCATGTTTTTAACTACGCAGTAAAGGCTCTATAAGTTATTATAACGCAGAGAACCATCGCCAATCCGTTGCAGCTTTCTCAAATTCATCCAGTTACACACAGACACGTCTCTCTCTCTCTCTCTCTCTATATATATATATATACAGAGAGAGAGAGAGTTATATACAAGTTTTTTACAGCAAAAGTATCCCCAAACCATTCCTGCACAAAATGCTACAGCAATTGCTTTATCTGAAAGCTCAAAAGTATAAAGACGGATGAAGAGAGTTTTTATTGTAATTATGTAATTACTGTAAAATTTTTCGTTACTTTACTTTTATTAACAGAGGGCCTACTATGTTCTAAGTCGTCATGATAAGCTCATGGCGGAAAATTTTTATTCTTTCCTAACATTTGTCCTTTATTTCGTTTTCTCACTTGCATTACTTTAATGCTTTCCAATTCTGATTTAAAAAAAAAAAAAAAAAAAAAAAAAAAAAAACCTAACTATGCATTTATATTTTGAGAGACTTAAAACTTTACATCGCCATTTTGTATCGCCAATAGAGCTAAACAGATAGCGATAAGCGTATCTTTTCTTCCATACTGAATTTCAATCTTTTGTTCTTCCAACGCAGATAAGTTACTATTTCTTCTTACTTTGTTCTCAGTTGATAATTCCTTTTAGTTAATAAGACTCGTGTTCTTTCTCTAGATTTATAAATTATTACGTTATAATCTGAATTTTAATATTAGTAAATTGTATATATTACTACAGTACAAAGTCCGTAATTTAGGTCAAAATTTCGTCGGGACTTCGGCGATTCTGGATTAGAGATTTTTCCGGATTATAGATCTTCAATTTAAATCTGGTAAGATGCCATGCAGAAATTATACAATTAAAATATGAAACCGTAATTTATGAAATAAAGAGCAATTATGTTCTAAAGGGTATCAAAATTTACAAAAACAAAAGCTTAATATTTATTTGTTTACTTTATTAAACGTTTCTTTCAATGTAAGTTGTTTAAGTTGCTTCGTTTTTTGTGCTAATACTTTCTCTTTAATTCCATAACAGACATAATTTCTTGTTCAGTTACAAAGTTCCACCTATCGGATGCGGTATGTTCTGGATCTAGAGCCATACTACAGATTTCGACGTCCGTTAATTGATTGATGATTGGGGCATTGTCGTCGCAATGAAAAACTTCTGTTATATCATCTTCATTTATTACAGCTTCTGAACATTTCTTTACAAAATCCAATAACTGGAAAATTTCACCTTTAGTTTGCGATGTTCGAAAACCTTCAAATTCGCGGCTATCATCTTCATCGTCCTCCCATGAAATATGTTAGCTGGCCATAAATTAGCCAAACATTTTTTAACGTATCTGGAGATACATCCTCCCAACGCGCATGCGTAAAGCATTCAAAAGAAGTGTGTGGCTTTGATCTCCGGATTATAGATCATTCCGGATAATGGACGTCCGTATTACGGACTTTGTACTGCATTACTTACTTACTAATTGTATATTGTATATATTACTATTAATCCTCCGCTCCCTTTACATCTTAAACAATGGACGAATTTAGAAAAAAAATAGCAAAACAGCGGAAAGCAGCAGGAGATACGAGTGAAGAGAAGAAGAAGGAGTTGCGATGTAATTAAGCTTTTATATGAATTCCATTTCAAATCACATGACAGTTTAATGTACTGCATTTTGGGTGTTATTTGTAAGCTAGATTTTATATTATATATATATATATTATAAGTAATGTTGTAAGAATAATACAAAAAAGACAAATTTAGGTCAAAATGTTTTTGCGCAATGTGCTGCAAAATTAAGGAAATGAGAAAAGAAATTGTAGTTAGCTCGCCAAAAAGTTACCAAAACCTGTGGCTCCAAGAAAAATCCAACATATGCATATTCAGTTATTTACAAGTTCGAATAAAAAACTATATGTTAAATATTTTCGGAAATTTTAACACAGTATTAAAACAAATCAAACTGAATAAGGCAATATATTAGGTTACATGCGAAATAAAATGTAATTATAAAACACAGTAAAATACTAATCGATGGAACATGTTAAAGGCAAAAAATAAAACACAGTAAACAACCAATCGATGGAGCAAGTTAAAGGCAAAAAATAGTAAATTAGCCCGATTCGAGGTCCATTCTGGCTTTTCAAGGGAAATTTCTGAGTGAACATCGAATCAAGCTAACTCCATTACGCGTTTCGCCGAAACAGACAATTGAAACTTTGCGTTACAAAATTTTTTAATTAATTAAATAAACGGTCCAAAAAAAATTTTTTTAGTCTCAATTCTCTGTTCCAATTTCCCGACGCGTCCGCATATATATATATATATGCGGACGCGTCGGGACGCTCTCCTCCATCAGCAAGATATTCGAAGCTGTACTACTCAAGCACAGCAACTCACACACACACACATATATATATATATATATTGTTAGTGCGTACCGATAAGAGTTTGACAAAATTTATTTTCCTAGCAAAAACACAAACGCTTTACAGTTCCGGAACTTTTCACAAAATGAGTACTTCTGAGCACAATCAGTATTTAGCACTTCAGACTATTAAGAGCATCAAAAACAAGACAATATAAAAAAGCCTCGTATGTGTAAACTCGCACAGTGGTCTCTAAATACCCTCAGTACACTGAAAACTGGTAGTTCCGACCTGGATTCAAATCTAAGGGAAAGTGTAATGGTATAAGAGGCGGGTTTCCTTAGAAAATCCTCCACTAAGACATCCCCTACCTTATGCAGGATGGAATCGATGGGTTTGGATCGTAAGACAGAGTGTGTTTCTGTCTCTCGAAGCCACACTAATAAGTTTCGCTAGCTCAGATAGAACAACAGTTTCATTCCACTTTCTCTACAAATCCACGCACGGACAACATTATTCCAACCTTACCTGCAGAATTCCGGCTTATTATCAAGAAACTTAAAAATAGGAAAAGCCCTGGTTTGGACGCCATCACCAATACCATGATAAAGAGGTTTTCTGTCAAGGTTATCTTCATTCTCACTAAGTTAAGCAATATCATCCTGGAGTGGCAGCATTTCCCCACGTCATAGAAGACGGCCAAGATTGTTCCTATCCTTAAGCATGGCAAATCATCCAACAAGCCAGAGTCGTACAGACCCATCAGCCTGCTCTCCTCCATCAGCAAGATATTCGAAGCTGTACTACTCAAGCACAGCAACTCACATCTAGATGCCAATGATATTCTGATTCCTAATCAATTTGGATTCAGGAGGCAATTATCTACCAGGAATCAACTGTATAGAGTCGTTGAGACCATTGCAGAGGGAATGACCACTAAGAAAATCACTGTTGGACTATTTCTTGATATAGCAAAGCTTTTGACAGAGTCTGGTTGGATGCACTCATTTACAAGTTACTTGTACTGGGTTTCCCAGACTACATCATTAACATTACTTATTCCTACCTAACAGGTAAACACTTTGTTGTTCACGTAGCTCGCACAAACTCCACTTTACACCCTATGATCGCAGGGGTCTCTGCTTGGGGTTACATACTTTAATATCTACGGGAACGACATTCCTACCACACATGACACAACATTAGCTATGTATGCAGACGACACTGAGATCCTGACACAAAGTGCATTCATTGGTCCAGTAATTCAACGGTTACAAAACTACATCCACACATTAGAGATTTGGCTTACCCAATGGAAAATTTCTGTCAACGTGGACAAGACCAAGGCTATACTATTTACCAGGAAAACCAAAATCAAAAAAAATCTGCAGTTCTACAATGCCAGCATTCCATGGGCCAAGCAAGTCCTTTATCTTGGGGTGATCCTCAATAATACTCTTACATGGTCCCCACACATCACTTCTATTATCCAGAATTTCCGGGTTCGTAAAGCACAACTCAATCCTTTAATTGCTCGGAACAGTGTGTTATCTATAGACAACAAGCTACTTATATACAAGTCCATTCTCAGACCATTACTTTGTTATGATAGT